AGTTAAAGTCCCCCATGATAAGGAGGTGGCTGGGGTTGAGCATCGCCACATTGTTTATTAAGGTTCTTAAGTTCCTTTGATTTAGTGGGCCACAGTTCGGGGATCTGTAGATACACCCGACGATAAGTAAGTCCCCTCCCTTTAATTTAATTTTACACCACTTGGACTCTTCAAAAACATCCTCTCCCTGTACCCTCGCCTGGCTGTCTCTAAGGTCTTGCCTAGCGTAGATAACCACACCCCTCCTGCAGGATTCTTGAGTTAGGTTCGTAAATGAGTCATATCCAGCAATACTGAACTCACATTCCTCTGGGTCGATTCTCCTGTTCTTGTACAACAGTTCTACAACTCCTACAATATCTGGTTGGTGTACTCTTAGTAGTGTTTCAAACTCCTCCCTCTTATCAAGGAACGTGTCGGTATTAGTGTACATGACATTCAAGCCAGAATTTGTTCTCGGTAACGTCTCTGCTCTTAGTAATAAACCCGCTCCACCCACATTCTCAGAAGCTGCAGCATTTGCTAAGTACACTGTATTTTGCAGGGTGTGGTTAAAAATGTCATTGTTTACACGGCGCTCGTTCCCTCCTGTCCGGTAGGCTGAGCTGGTGCCGCCTCCCGGGTGGGGGGTTGAGTGGGTGGAGGGTGCACTGCTGCCCCCTGGCCCTGTGTCGGCACACTTGTTTCCACTACCCTCCCCCTGAGTATAACCCATGTGCACCTGTCCCCGTTCCTCCTCGACTCCTCCCTCTTCTGCTTCAAGTCCAGCAGGAGCTTCTTGTGCTGTTCCCTCTGCATTACTTTGGGGTATTTAACATAGCCATAGGATTTACTTTTTGTTAGGTTAGGTTAGGTTAGCAAAGTGCATCACGATGGATCTGAGTTATCTCCCTTGTTCACGAACTCTTTGGAATTTAGCGTTTGCCAATACTGAAAGTTTATCGTTGTTTATTATTTCATCTTACAAATTATTTTTACAAAATTACACTAAAAATGTTATTAAACATGTTTTATGTATATATAACAGATATTCGTTAAGATTTTACCCTTATTTGCTATACTTGTGGGTACTTTTGGATACATTTGGGTACTTTTGGGTAATTCGTGGCTCCCGTGGAAAGAGCTGTGCCGACATTGTGATAGAGATTATTTTACGTCAATTGCAGAGTTTCATCAGAAAAATAGTGTTAGGTCGGGTTAGGTTTGGTTTTGTTGGTTGGTTGGTTTTTAATGTGATTTACTAAAAAAAAAGTCTTTAAAATTGATGGGTGGGTGGGGTTACCTCAAAAACTATTGATTTCCGGCTGAAATGAATATCAAATTCGTTCGAAACTCATCAAATAACATCAGAAAAACATATTTTTTAATATCCAAACAAAGACCGATGCATTAGTGAAATTTGACCAAATTGGGTACTTTTAAACTCGGTTTCAATGAAAAACAGCCGACAGCCACGATCTGAATAATTACAGGAGCAAGTTCTGTTATGAGTATTTTTGCCTCCAATATATTTACCCCTGAAATATACTAAGTTATAAATACTAATATGCTGAAATTGTGACTTTAGGAAATTGTTAATACTGAATTAATGGCAATATCAACAATATATACCTAGATTTTGCCAAGGCTTTTGGCAGCGTACCCCATGAAAGGCTGGAAATTAAATTGAAAAGGTACAGGATTCGGGGAAGTGTCCTAGCATGGATTGGAGACTTTCTCCATGATCGCAAGCAGTGTGTGGTGATTAATGGTACAAAATCGTCATGTGTACCTGTGACAAGCGGGGTACCACAGGACAGTGTATTGGGCCCGTTGGTGTTTGTTTGTTTCATAAATGACATGCCAGAAGCTATACATGCCTCCATGCAAATATTTGTGGACGATGCCAAGTTATTTAGGGAAATTAAGAACCAAGCATACTGTGAAGGGCTGCAGAAAAATTCTCTGTGAGCTTCAAGAATGGTCGAGGAAATGGCTGCTGAGATTCAATGTCACGAAGTGCAAAAGGATGCACATGGACGTACCAATGGTAAGGAGGCATATCATATGTCCCAACAGGATGAAGAAACTGCATTAATTGTGACTGAATGCAAAAAGGACCTGGGTGTGTATATTGACAATGAACTGAAGTTCTCGGGCCATTGTAAGAAGAAGGTGAATGAAGCAACTAAATTATTAGGTCTTATAAGATGGTCGTTCAGATATCTAATTGGTCCGTCCCTCATAACGATCTTCAAGAGTGAGGTGCTTCCCCGCCTAGAGTACTGTCACCCAGTCTGGTCCCCGAGAAATTCTTGAGACTGTCATTTGATTGAAAATGTACAAAGGGGGGCCACCAGACTGGTGCCTGCACTTCGGCACCACAGCTACCGAGAGAGATTAGAACACCTGCAATGGACTAGCTTATACTACAGACGGGCAAGGGGGGACCTAATTGAGGTGTATAAATATATCAAAGGGCACTACTCAGTCACGTGTCCATACCTGAAGCTGGCAGACGCTTGCCCCACAAGGGTCACAACTCAAGGTTGAACAAGCCTGTAAAGGCAAACCTTTTCAGAGTGAAAGTTTGGAACTCTTGGAACAACCTGCCAAAGAGTGTTGTGATGGCACCGAGTGTGAGTTCTTTCAAGACCAGACTTGACCAGCACTGGAGCAGGTTCAGATATATTCGGGAGCCAGTGCATGCCCAGTACTTGCCAACATTGCGTAACAGAGACGTGACCGACCACCTAAGCGGCTAACGAGGATAAAAGTAAAAAAAAGTCATGTATTGTCAGCCTGTGTTAGGAGATTATGAAGATGAAAATAATTGGGTAATTTCTGAGAACAGCACTACCCCCAGAAGGAGTTGTTCGATTTCATTCATTTTTCCACAGATGTTCTTATTATTATAGTAAGTCTTTTAAAAGAGGCTACATTTACTTGAACCTAATAGAACCTGACCTAACCAACTAAAGAAACCTACCAAACCTTACCTAACTTCCGAGCTGGGGAGGCTCTGTTCCGCGAACTTCTTGCCATATTAAGGAGAAAGTACTTACTTTGATATCTGACACCAATAATAGCAACTTTCTTAAAGTGTCATGGTGTCCTTAAACTGTAATTTAATCAGTCAATTGAAAGCACATATCCACATAGTACATTTATGGTAACTTTAGGTTATACAGTAGTTACAGGACTGTCACTCAGTGCCAATATGGGAGCAAATACCTTTTTAACCCCCTCATTTTCCTTCCACAGTAAATTGATATCATGCTTGAGCAATTGATTTGTGTTTGTAATTATACATTTTCAACTGCAGTTGTGACAGAATTTAAAGATCAATTATACAGAATACTGTCCTCCACTCTAAATGTTTTTGGGCTGTTTTTACCAATCCTCTGAGGTTATGTATCTCTCTGAGAACCCAGTTATTAATTTATTTCATCCATCCCAGTCTCTGACTTCCTCTGGCCCCTTGGCCCTCCTATCCTCAACTTTGCCCATTAATATTTGTTATTAGTCCCTCATCCCTAATTATATGACCAAGTATCCCATTTTTCTTTTTCTGTACATTTCAAGTATTTCTCTTGAAGTTCTTGCTAATCTTAGTACTTCATTTGTTTTTCTCTCAGTGTAGCCTTTTCTTAGCATTCTCCTATAACACCACTTTTAAAAGGCCTTCAAATTCTTTCTGGTGTCTGCTGAAAGTGTCCACAGGTTAGGATGTTAGATAAGGTTAGGTCAGGTTCTAATAGGTTCTGTATATTCTTGCTTCCATTTTCGTTTTCAGTGTCATGCAAATAGTATCTCCAGGAATTTTGGTTCAAATCCATAAGTTACTTCTGGTGGTAACTGTCTCCTCCACCTTTACCATTAATATTTGAAAGTGTTTCATCTTAATTAGCTATAATACTGGTACAGTGGGGTATGCTATAACGAACGGATCCTACTACGAATATTCCTATAACGAACGGTTTTACCTATAAAATTGAGAATGCTATAACGAACGAAACTCCTACAACGAACATTATTTAATTTTTTTTTTTTCTAATTTATTGTTTTTTATTACAAATATTAATGATATTCTTTATTTCAGAGGTTTAGATGCATATTTATGCACTTTTTTACAATTTTTACAATTTTATATTATATTTTTCAGTGTTAAGTGGTTGTATTTGGGGGCCTGGAACGGATTAATCCTATAACGAACGAATGCTATAACGAACAAGGTTCTAGAACCAATTAGATTCGTTATAGCATACCCCACTGTACAGTATTACGTTTTCTTAAAAAAAAGAAAGATTGCCATCAAGAATGATATGAATCTGTGATAGTCATCTCAAAGTTCATTGTTTAATTCTTTCACTTCACTATCAGCACAGCAGGTGTGGGTGGTGTTGAATCATGTTAAATCATTCTATGTATTTCAATGGGAAATTTAAGGTACAGTATGGGACTGCAGCCCTAAAACATACACTCAAAATTCCTGGACCCTTAACTGCACATTACAGATCTGTGGCTAACTGTGGTGTGCACAAAACATTTAGGTCTTTAAATTTTAAACTTGCCTTATAAAACTTAACATGTATGCAAATTAAAAGGAAAACACAGTACAGTACAATATAAGACTGAAAGGTTCCCCCCCCCCCTCCCCTACACCAAGTTTACTGCACCATGTAATAGTGGGATCACCTGATGAATCTCCACCCTAGTTTATATTTCACCTAAAGATTAACCACCCAAATGCTAACCTAACCTAACCTCATCCCCACAAATATCATTAAGGTGGTTAATCTTTAGATGTAATAAGTTGGGGTGGAGATTCTTCATGGAATATGTGCAAACCAATACCAGTACTGTGCAGTGTCCCTGTAACTAATGGAAGTTTTTCCTCTCTATCTCAAAGATTATTCCATATTTTTTTTTGTTTCTTTAATGTGAATTTCCATTACTCAAGCTTCTGTACCTTGAGGGATGCCTGTACAGTATTTCACTAACTCACTTTTTATTGACAGAGGAAGACAAGGTCGGGGAAGTAGACTGAGTGGACCGACCAACAAAGATGCATTAGAGAAACTGTCAAAAGTTCACCCACTTCCTTCACTCATCCTGCAGTGGCCCAAGATAAACTCATCTCTTATCAAGGTAAAACACATAGCATGCCACGTCCAGTATGTTCACCCGTGTGTTGTTACATGTTTTCCAGAAGGTTGGTTCATGCAGTACCTCTTCTTTAACATAATTATTACACATCTCTACTTTCTCCTCTATATTTACACCTATCTTACACACACCTGTACACTTCCCTGTATCCAGTATCTTTTAAAACAAATTCTTCATTTGATATTACCCTTTAAAAGCCTAATAACAACTCACACATCCTTAATATAGCTAAAGCTGCCTCCCGAAAGTTGGGAATGCTGTACAGATGCCGTAGGTACTTCACTCCTGAGCAGTTGCTCCAAGTATATAAGAGATTCATTCATCCTAACTTTGAGTACTGCTCTCATATCTGGGGTGGCTCTTCTTCTGTCCAACTATTAGATAGGGTGGAATCAAAGGCATTTGGTTTTATTAACTCTCCTCCTTTAGTCGACAATCTCTCTTCCCTTTCTCTTCGCCGTAATGTTGCTTCACTCTCTCTCTTTTACAGGTACTTTAACGGGCAATGTTCGGTGGATTTGGCATCCTGTGTACCGCCGTCAAGGTCGTGGGCTCGTAACACAATTCTTGCCCGCTGTGCCCACCGTTTCTCTGTGGATGTCGGTCACACGAGAATAACCCGTTATAGTACCTCCTTCTTTCCTCACACAGCTAAACTGTGGAATGCTCTGCCTTCTTCTGTGTTTCCATACTTATACAATCTGTATCACTTTAAAAAGCTGGTTTTCCGGCATCTTCGTGGTGTAGATTAACACAGTATGACCCTTTTCTTCTCTATTTTCAATTTTTTTTTTTTTTTTTTTTCGCCCCCCAGGCCCCGTTGTGGGTCGTTTGACCTGTGCCTTGGTGGGCTAATTCCCGTAAAAAAAAAAACACTGCAGGACATTTACTTTCCTATGATTGCTGGAGCCTTAGTGGGTGGAGAGAGAGGCACTGTGTCTGACATGCTTAACATTAAAGTAGAAATATGTACAATACTGTACAATATTACACCAAACTTAATAACACTAAACTTAAATTTACTGTATTGTACTGTACTGTAGTAACTATATAATCACTACAATCAGTGCTAGATGGAGGGCTGTATTAAGACAGGCTGAAGCCCTAAGCTATGTCAAGATTTAGAGGCTCCATACCATAAAAAAAATAGAGTATATAACAGTGAGAATGGGTGAATTACATTCTAACATAAAGGTCAATATTTTTATTTATTTTTTATAAAACTATGTACAGTACTGTATTTACATATACTGTACAGTATACATTGGCAAAGAGGCAATGAACAACTTATAATCTAGATAACATATACATCATAGAAAAAGCCTTATTTGTATTATAAAATACTTTATGATTTCCTAACTAGCAAATATGAAATTGAAGACTTTTAACATAAAACATTGCACAGATTAACCCTTGTATTAGCCCCTGTCTTATAGGCAGAAGTATTTTTATAAATGTGGGTTAATTACATTAGACTTGTATAACTATCACCCTCTGTAACTTTCCACTAGCTATGAGGTTCATGTTTAGAGCACGTGATAAGGTCTGTCCACGGGAAGTCACGTCACTTGGTGCTGAGCTAAGGGATAAGTATCCGGCTCTCTGGCCACCTATTGCGGGCAGTAGTTTGTTAACCCTGACGAGAGGAAGACATTATTTAGAGTCATCGTCGATGTGCTTCAGTCTTTCTTCGAGGGAGGACGTCAGATGTACAGTATTTCCGTTCTCCCTCAAGGGTCCCTACTCAAGATCACTCCCACTTCAATCATACATATTTTAGAAGAGCTACTTTAAGATAGCCTCCGTCCTCATTTAACACTCATAGCTACAGTGATTAAGTTACGGTGATGATCCTTTTTGAAAGTGCACATAGAAACCTTTTACAATAAATACAAAAAAGGAACCTATTTGATTAAGTTACTGAAGACCCAATAAACTTTGTTTTGATATGTCTAGAATATAAGGTAACATGTTTCACAAGTGATTGTTACAAGTGGTGACATCCCAGGAAGGTTGTTACATATATAACAGTTGGTAAAGATAGAGATATTATGTTCTCCCCATTTCTGTGTTTACTGTTACAGAGAAGATATTGTTACAGAGATGGCAAAGTGTATCTTAAGAGGACCCAGTCTAGGACCAGTTTAAGTTGACCAGTCTACAGTGTACAGTTAGTCAAGTGCACTCCAAGTATACGTGAGAATTTTGGTAACAGAAGTTATTCATCACACTGGAGTTGAGTAACAGTTGAGATAATCTGTTACTCCTACTATTATATAAAGAAATTAAACAGTTTCACCCTTAGTAAATGGAAGCAGTAATGCGACTGGCGCTGTCTCTTCTGTTTGAACATTACATAAAATTTAAAACATTTTCTTTCATATTTTCCCAAGAGCAAAGTCATGGATGAAGTCGTCCAATGATAAGCTACAAATTTTTCACTTTCTATTCACATAGTGCTTCATGCAGAGAACTTTTCTCACAGCATTGATGTCCATAGTTCATTCTTAATCCTTTTCAGCTACAGAATTTACCTTTCTCCTGAGCAGTTTGTTACTATTAGACTAAAAAGTGGCCACAAATTGCTTCTACATTAGAGAAATCTAAATGAATCTTATCTTGGAAGATGACTTGATAGAGGTCCTAGTGGCATAAATATCCTTTATTAGAATAATTTTTCTTGGTATAAACATGAAAGTCCTCTACTTCCCCAACAAGGTTAACATCAAAATATCGTCAGGATAGTCTTTCATCAGAAACTTTACACTGTCACACAACTTTTCTTCTTCTAAATCAACTAAAATTTATATATTTTTGCGACTGTCTTTTTTTCACACTGATTTCAAGGGCATCCATCATGGGAATAAAGGATTTTACTCAAAATTTGTCTTTTGGAGAAAGCGTCATCATCATTTGCTGCATCACCATCACTGAATGTTTTTTCTCACTCTCTTTTATTCACACATTTATAGTCTACATCAGGCTATCAAAACATTCATCAAAACATTCTAGGATTTATTTCAAGAAGTTAGTGATCAATGTGTAAAGCTTGTACATGTGTTAAGGCCAATCTGTGGATCCTTTAAGGTCTTGTTGGTTTGTGGAAATGATCTAACCAATGAACATGAACACATTCTAGTTCCTCAGTTTCCTCAAGAAGAATATCAGCTTTCTTCTTGTTTCACCCTCTTCACTGTCATTAGTACACTAGTATGGACATGAGTAAAAGCATCATTACAGTAATTGAATTATTGTATAACTCACCTATGGTTGAAGTAGCCTTTGCACGTGCTTCCCACCTAGTTTAGTGTTAGAAGATGTTTTGGTACTATAGAGTCTAGATTCAAGAATTTGAGTACTGCCCAGGGTTTTGTAGAGACCAATTACAACTCAGCATCTGCACTGGTAATTCAAACTGAGTCCAACTTTGGGTAGTTTTACTACAATGTGGGAATGAACCCATCTCAACTGTAAACTCAGTGAAATACCTTGGACTAACTCTCGACTTTCTTCATCTGGAGAATAAATTGTAGATAATATAATTAGTAAAACTAATGTTAGGATAAACAATTTGTTTATAGAAATGCCATATGTCTCAGCTGATGCTCATAGCAACTTTGCTTGGCACTCTACAAAGTCACTTAGACTATTCCTGATCATTATTACACTCTGCCTTAACACAGAAGCTAAAAGTCAAATTAAAAAAAATTTAAAACAAGGCAGCGAGGTTTATTCTTGACGTGAATGCAAGAGATCACATTGGTCTCAGAGTTCTTCAATCACTGAAAATGTTAAGTGTGACAGATAGAGTGAAGCAACTGAGTCTGAATCACTCTTATTAGATATTCAACAAACTGTGGCCAGACTATTTAACACCAAATTTTGTAAGGATTAGGGATATGAACCGGCAGGCACTAGAGGGAGGGAACATAATTTTGTGGTATACCGTACCTGGTGTTTACATTCAAGCAAAGAACACTTTCTTCTTCACAGCTATAAAAGACTGAAACAAGTTACCAAACTACAGTACATCAAAACCAGTAATAGTGTAAAACAATTCATAGCTAAAAGTAAAAAATACATAACAGATGAAGCTGTTTCTGTATTAACCACAAAATATATAATGTTGAAGTGATCTGCCAACCTCAGTTAGTCCAAGTGCAATGTAATGCTTGTTAAATTGATCAGAAAACTTTCTCTATTTCTCCTGTTGACATGCTATTACTGATTAGAGACCTAGCCTAAGCAAAGGACCCTACTGTAAATAAGCATCTGTTGGCTTTGCCAATTATTAAGTCTGTGAATCTATCAACTGTATTCATCATTAAATCTATATAACTATTTATATCATCTAACCTTACAGAAGTGAAGAACAAGGGACAGACTGATGACAGAGGCTACATCACCACCACCACCAGATGACAGAGGCTACATCACCACCACCACCAGATGACAGAAGGCTATATCACCACCACCATGTCCCATAAAACAATTATATTTAATAATTTCACTAGTTTTTGTGAAAGTATCTTTCATAAGATCTTTCCCTTGTGTTTTGATGAGAGGAAGAAGAAGAATAAGAAGGATTAGTGTTTTGATGAGAGGAAGAAGAAGAAGGTTTAAGGGGTAACTATTATATTTCATCACTGAAAACTAAAAAGGGGTAACTATTATATTTCATCACAGAAAACTATGAAGGGGTAACTATTATATTTCATCACAGAAAACTATGAAGGGGTAACTATTATATTTCAGATAACACTACATCTACCACCACCAGATGACAGAAGGCTACATCACCACCACCAGATGACAGAAGGCTATATCACCAGCACCACCAGATGACAGAAGGCTACATCACCACCACCAGATGACAGAAGGCTATATCACCACCACCAGATGACAGAAGGCTACATCACCACCACCAGATGACAGAAGGCTACATCACCACCACCAGATGACAGAAGGCTACATCACCACCACCAGATGACAGAAGGCTATATCACCAACCAGATGAGAGAAGGCTACATCACCACCACCAGATGACAGAAGGCTACATCACCACCACCACCACCAAGAAAACAGAAGACTATATCACCACCACCAGATGAGAGAAGGCTACATCACCAGATAATAGAAGGCTATATCACCACCACCACCCAGATGAGAGGCTACATCCACCACAAAAGTGAGAGAGGCTACATCACCACCACCACCAGGTAACAGCTACATCATCACCACCACCACCAATGATAGAGGCTACATCACCACCACTACAGATGATAGGAGGCTACATCACTTTCTACCACCAGATGAAAGGAGGCTACATCACCACCAGCAATACCAGATGAGAAGGCTACATCACCACCACCACCAGATGACAGGAGGCTACATCACCACCACAACCAGATGACAGGAGGCTGTCCACCACCACCACCACCACCAGGTAACAGAAAGCTACATCACCACCACCAACATCAGATGAAGAAGGCTACATCACCACCCAGATGACGGAGGCTACATCATCACGACCACCAGATGACGGGGGCTACATCACCACCACCACCACCAGATGACTAAGGCACCACAACCACCACCGGGTGACTACAAGACTACATCACCACCACCGAAGACTGAGGCACCACCACCAGATGACTGAGCACCACAACCGGGTGAAGCTGAGACTACATCACCACCACCAGATGACTGAGCACCCCACCACCACCAGGTGACTGAGACTACATCACCACCACCAGATGACTGAGGTTACATTACCACCACCAACGCAGATGACTGAGGTTGCATGCCTCCACGCAGCAGATGACTGAGGCACCACCACCACCAGATGACTGAGGCACCACCACCACCAGATGACTGAGACACCACCACCCAGATGACAGGAGGCACCACCACCACCAGATGACTGAGGCACCACCACCACCAGATGGCAGGAGGCACCATCACCACCAGATGAGCTGAGGCACCGCCACCAGATGACAGGAGGCACCACCACCACCCCAACACCACCAGATGGCAGGAGGCTACATTACTACCATAGCACCAGATGTCTGAGGCATCCGCAATACCATTAGATGACAAGAGGTTACATTACCACGAACAACACCAGATGTCTGAGGCTACTTTACCACCATCAACACCTGACTGAGCGACATTACTACCACCAACGCCAGATCACGACATTACTACCACCAGCGCCAGATGACTGAGGCTACATCACCGAGTACCACCAGATGACAAGAGGCTACATCAACACCAGGTGACTGAGGCTAAATCATCACCACCATGTGACAGGAGGCTACATCACCACCACCAGATGACAGAGGCTACATCACCACCACCACCAGATGACAGGGCTACATCACCCACCATCACCCAGATAGCAGAAACCTACATCACCACCACCAACAGATGACAGAAGGCTACATCACCACCAGATGACAGAAGGCTACATCACCACCACCACCAGATGAGAGGCTACATCACTACTACCAACACAGATGACTGAGGTTACATCACCACCAGCAGATGGCGGGAGGCTACAATACCACCACCAACACCAGATGACTGAGGCTACATCACCTCCCACCACCAGCAGATGGCGGGGAGGCTACATTACCACCACCAACACCAGATGACTGGGGCACCAACACCAGATGACTGGGGCTACATCACCTCCACCACCAGCAGGCCTGACAGGAGGCTACGTACCGCCACCAGCACCAGATGACTGAGGCTGTTACCACCACCACCAGTAGTGACAGGAGGCTACATGCCACCACCAGTATTAGATGACAGGAGGCTACATTACCACCACCAACACCAGATGACGGGAGGCTACATTACCACCACAACACCAGATGACAGGAGGCTGCATTACCACCACCAGCGCAGATGACTGCAGCTACATTACCACCACCAACACCAGATGACAGGAGGCTACGTACACCACCATCGCAGGCATTTGGGGGCACCCCCCACCACCAGATGACTGAGGCCCCACCACCACCAGATGACTGGGGGCTAAATCCCATCACCCACCATGTGACAGGAGGCTACATCACCACCACCCAGATGACAGGAGGAGGGGCTACATCACCACCCAGATGACAGGAGGCTACATCACCAGATAACAGAAACCTACATCACCACCAACAGATGACAGAAGGCTACATCGCACCACCACCCAGATGACAGAAGGCTACATCACCTGCCAGATGAGAGAAGGCTACATCACCACTACCAGCTTACCCAGATGACTGGGTTACATCACCACCAGCAGATGGCGGGAGGCTACATTACCAACACCCAGGTAACTGGGCACCACCACCAGATGACTGAGGCTATCACCTCCACCACCAGCAGATGACAGGAGGCTACATTACGCCACCAACACCAGATGACTGAGGCACCACCACCACCAGGAGATGACTGAGGCTACATTACCCACCACCACCAGTAGATGACAGGAGGCTACATTACCACCGCAGTAGATGACAGGAGGCTACATTACCACCACCAGTAGATGACAGGAGGCTACATTACCACCACCAACACCAGATGACTGAGGCTACATTACCACCACTAACACCAGATGACCCAGGAGGCTACATTACCACCACCAACACCAGATGACAGGAGGCTACATTACCACCACCAACACCAGATGACAGGGGCTACATTGCCTACCAACACCAGATGACGGAGGCTACATTACCACCACCAGCACCAGAATGTACGAGGCTACATTACCACCACCAACACCAGATGACAGGAGGCTACATTACCACCACCAACACCAGATGACGGGAGGCTACATTACCACCACCAGCACCCAGATGACAGGAGGCTGCATTACCACCACCAACTTGAGATGACGGGAGCTGCATTACCACCACCAGCACCAGATGACAGGAGGCTACATTACCACCAGCACCAGATGACTGGGGCACCACCACCAGATGACTGAGGCTACATCACCTCCACCACCAGCAGATGGCTGAGGCACCACCACCAGGAGATGACTGAGGCTACATTACCACCACCTGCAGGAGATGACTGAGGCTACAGCCCACCACCACACCAGTAGATGACAGGCTACATGCACACCAGAAGTAGATGACAGGAGGCTGCCTGCCACCACCACCAGTAGGCGTGAGGCTACATTACGCAGCACAGATGACTGAGGCTACATTACCACCACTAACACCAGATGACAGGAGGCTACATTACCACCACCAGATGACAGGAGGCTACATACCAACACCAGATGACAGAAGCTACATGCCAACACCAGATGACAGGAGCTGCATTACCACCACCAACACCAGATGACAGGAGGCTACATTGCCACCGCAGCACCGGAATGACAGGAGGCTGCATTACCACCACCAGCACCCAGCAGATGACAGGAGGCTACATTACCACCACCAACACCAGATGACGGAGGCTACATTACCACCACCAACACCAGATGACAGGAGGCTACATTACCACCACCAACACCCAGGCGGCTGAGGCCCCACCACCGCAGATGACTGAGGCTACATCACCACCAGATGACTGAGACACCACCACCACCAGATGACTGAGACTACATCACTACCACTACTACCATTTGACTGAGGCACCACAACCACCACCAACACCAGATGACTGAAACACCACCACCCCCAACACCACCAGATGGCAGGAGGCTACATTACTACCACCAACACCAGATGTCTGAGG